CTGTGGACGACCAAAGGCCATGAAATTGGTTGGTGATATTTTTGTACTAATTCTGTTTAACCTCCTCGTTCCTTTGGGACAATATGGACATTTATTTGTTTCAGGACATGTATAAATCTTGTGTATATATTTACGAAGGCTGCTTGCCACATTAAATGTTTCGTTGGTTACGCTCGCGTATTTCGTCTTTTCATATTCGCATTCAGTGTTAGTGTATCAATGGCTACGCTAATGCTAATATTAGTATCGGTGTGCTACTGAAGGCTAGAACACGTTATTCTACCTAACATAGAATAATCAGTAAACTCTGTGTGGCAAATACACACCATATACTAATAATTGTATATCCTTGTGCAAATTACTTGAAACAAAACGAATAAATTCATTATTATTTACATTTTTAACATTTTTTCCAATGAAACATGATCAAGTGCACATATTAGTACAACGTATGTACATTCCACGAAGCCGTTCCTTGCAGATTGACCATAGATTCTCGTTGAAATCAGGAGTGTTTACAGGCAAGTCTATACTACTATATGCTCAATGGTAAGGCTTGCTAGTGTGTTCTTGCAGAGTTACAATTTTCGTAGGTTTTCTTGGAATAACGTGCATCGCAAACAATAGCCATAGGACAACTAATCGACAGTCGAGAGAAAATTTGATAGAATCACTGATGACTTAATATTTTTCAAGACCAAATAAATTCCTAAAATAAATTCATTTTACTGCACACCACAGCAAATGACCTAAACCAATTGAAATACAGAAATCGATTACACACTGTCAATCTAATGGGTCTAAAACTGACTATATAGTTAAAGAAAGGAAACTAAAGCGGTTGTTTCAATTAATTTGCACAAGAATACTCTTGTACATGAAATATCTGATAGCAATCAAAATAACAGGTGCAGTACTTTTAAAGACCCTTGCCAGCAATTACAAAAACTGAAATTATGCTGTTGGTGCTAAAATGCACCCAGGAACATTGTTTCATCACTTACCCGAATTGCCAGATATTTCTGCAATCTCAGAGAGGATTAATATTTTGATGAATGTTTAATGACTGCTACCATTGATATAATGGTTTACATAGAGACGATATAAATATTTTCATAAAGTCTAATTAAATAATTTTTCTGCTATTGTAAAAACTACTGTTATAGTTCTTACGTCTTTTATAATTTTAAAGAAGTTGAATGTCAATAAACAAATTATTCAATTGTTTAATTCAAAATTGTCAATAATTTCAATGCAATATCAGTCATTATCATCAGTCTTATTAATTCTAGTTTCTCTTTATTCCATATAGAACATTTATCTCATATTCTCTAACATTCAGTAACTCCTTGTGTCTTAGTGGCTTTATTGCCGTAATTGAGGTGAAATGATTTAAAGAAAATAAACATACGTCTAGGTTCTTACAATATTCCATTTTGGCAGGTCGTTTATTATCACAATGTGCGATAATCAATAACAAAAGTGATGAAAACAAACAAACTAATTGAAACTGACTAGAGTATATACACAAAGATATTTAGAAAATATTACAATATCAGAGGATAATATTAAAAAAAGAATAGCTTTGTTTTACTGCCTTATTGTGTAGACTGTCCTACACTTAAAAATATAGAGTAATTTTCTTTTTAAATAATTCCCGTTGACTGACCTACTTCGATGCCCGACATATGCTTAATTGTAATAGTTGTAACCTAGGGAAGGTTACTGAATAGGATAATCAAACTAAGGCTGGTAATGAACGATAATACTTAGGACAAGAACAACACATATAAGATTCAGCATCAGCGCGTAGAAGATGTACTCAACTGCTAGAAGTGAGTCAAGTGATTTCCAAAATGAAACACCAACGGCAGAATATCTACCAATCGCCCCACGTGGTCCGATGTGGCACAAGGCAGAATTTAATGTGGGGTATCCGAGCAGGTAGACTCGGCCAAAAATCCCTAATATATCCCGAGGCCGTAGCTGTTTCCGGAGATGAGATTCTGCCCTTCGAAATTGCCACGTCTGTGGATCCTCTCTGCCCGGAGGGAGAGAGTTTGAGCAGCACAGCTGGAAACGAATCTCCAACTGCAATATATCTACCAACCGCCCCGGTCAGATGTGGCACAAGGCCGTATTAATGTGGGGTATCCGAGCCCATAGGCTCGGCCCAAATACCCCGTATACCCCGTATAAAACCGGAGACTGTTTCGAGGAGACCCTGCCCTCCGACATGGCTCGGAGGCAGAGAGTTTTACCAGCACAGGTGGAGACGAATCTCTAACTGCAAACCGACATACAGTATTTACTACTATATTTGTGTTTATATGGACATTATCGTCCCTGGGTATGTTACAAGGTAATATCTTAGCATCAGCTATTCTGAGGGAAATCAATAAAGGTTATTTAATACAATATTTACATTATTCGGACAATTGTCGCCATATTTATTACAACGTTTCGGCCGTTGTACGCTCCGGTCTTCTTCAGGTGGTTGGAATGTCAAACTGAACCCTTTATTTCGCTCACTGCGGTGGACTGTTCTAGTTACACGTACCATGTTTAAAGGATGTCAGTTATCAGTTATCTCCTGTTAATTTCCTTCTGAAATTCTCCACTGCCTTAACCGGGTATTGAACTCACACTCATTGGGTCCTGTCACTGGATCTAACCAACGCCTTTATCCACTGTGCCATATGTCCTTGAGGACATCTAGGTATGAATTTCTAGATATTTTACAATTAATGTTTTCAGCAACCATTTTTTACCTGTGCACATATTGCAATTTTTCTGTTGTTATCATACATGTTTTTACCAAAGCTCATATTGTTGTTATTATCGCTTTTCTCTCGCAATCCTTATTACTGGTTCCCATATTGTATTCATTTCTATGCTTGGTCGGCTCAGGATATTTTTGTGTGCTGATTCCTTAAGTTTACGAATTTTCCAATGGTGTTCTTTGTCTATGATCTCAACCTGATCCGACAGAGGGCGGTGATTTTTCTCTATATGTGGTCAGCCACGCCTGATTTCTCCGCTTCCTCTCGTGTTACAGCTTTCTGGTGTTCTTGAAGCCTTACCTTAATATAGACAGATACAGAAAATATTCATAGATTTGTTAAAAAATGTTGTTGAGATAATAATGATTTACTGATGCTATTTCTATTAATTGACTCATAGCAGGGCGAAATGAAATGACATAGGGATATATCAACGATATTGTTCCCAACTGGCAATCACAAACTATGGGCCATCTTCTAGTTTACCCCAATCTTGAAAATATATGCACAATTAACGACCTGGAAATCTTAACACCCCAGGTAGAGGTTCGTGTGCAAAACGGAATGGATGTGGTGTGGCGATTCTATGAGAAGAAAAAGATGAGGAAGTATGCTTGCTTGATATTTTCTTGTTAGCAAGCATTGATCCTGTGCAACAAGAATAAAAACATCGCTTTCAGCTTTTCTTCCTGCACTACGTAACCACTGATGGGTACGGTGTTTGTGAACATCACGGACAGAGTATTGAAAATGAAGATGTTTACCTTGCAATTGTTTCTGCATTTGGTCCACTATTATTATTATTATTATTATTATTATTATTATATGATAACAGTTTTGCGCAGGTGGCATTTATAAATAGCAGTTATGTCCAATAATCTACAGCAAACAGCTTTTGTTTATCCATAATTCACACATCTTAAATATCTTGTCCACAATCAAAAATAGCGAAAAAAAAAAATTAAAATCTAAGGATTTTTTAAAAATCTAAAAAAATACCGATGATTGTAACAATATTTAATACTGCTTTATATATTTGTCTTTCATCAGTGTATCAGATAAAAACTTACGATGTCCTTTCAAAAAGGCTACAATCTGACATCCATTAGAACAGTCTACTCCCGTGAACGAAATAAAGGGTTCAGTTCGTCATTCCAACCACGTGAAGAAGGCCGAACAGTACAACAGCCTAAACGCTGTAATAAATATGGCGACAAAGATGATGACAATAGTCCGAATAATGTAAATAGTGTAAAAATGTATTGCTTGTAATATTTTTTCATTCAAAGATTTATTCCGGTAATATTTTTTTAAAAATGTATTGCTAGTATCAAAATCTATTTTTACACTCATAGTATTTTGATTGCAGTTTAGGGGTTAACTACTCGCCTATGACTAGGACCTTATCAGGTGCTACCACCCCGGGACATGGTGGACCTGGGAACACCAGAAATTAAGAGATGGGTCCATGGTTCTCAAAACCTCATGATCAGAGACCTTGCTGTTGGATGTAGTTTATCGTCTTACCCAGGATGCGGATGTTGTTTATCGTCATGCCCAGGACGGAAGTTACTTGTGTCTGTCTTAAATTACATAACAATCGTTCATAATTTTCTCTGTTTATACCTATTTTTCCCCTCATACCTAATTCTTTGTATCCTGAAGGAAATTATACATATATGGGAGATTGAAATTCCCACGTCCGGTATATATCCGGGTTTTTTCATGAAAGGGAAAAGGTCACACAGATGGAATTTACAAATTCTAGGAATTGTTAAAGGTAATTTATGGAATCCCTCATTAGGAACATTGAAGATCCAGGCTGGTAAAATCTGCAAAGTACTATGACTGAAAGGACAATATGATGCGAGCTTCAGGTTATCATTCCATATTATTCTAACGAATAATTACTATGTTTTATTCCCGACCAGGATCAAAGATTATTCGAAGGTACTCGAACGATTAACAAGAAATACGGACAATTTATGCAGGTTTGAACGCAGGATTCGTATATGGGACAAAAACAAGAGGAACTTACGTAAAAAAAATATTTATTCCTCGCCTGTCGAATTCACTAACACATGTAGGAATAAACAGAAAGAGTCGGGGTGGGAGAGAGAGACAGAGAGAGACAGAGAGAGAGTGATGGAAGGAGGGAGAGGGAGAGATAGAGAGGGATTAAGGGAGAAAAAGTTTATTACTCGATTCTTGAATTCA